CGGTACCAAGGCGCACCCGAAAGGAACGACGAGAGAGGAAGCTGCGGAGAAAGAGAGGGAGATGACCACGAAGGCCAAAAGAATGAAGTTGAGATAGGATATGATAACGCCAAGTGGTGTCGTAAGCCTTTTCTAGGTCAAAAAGGACGGCAACAACGGAGGTCTTCGCAGCAAAAGCAGTACGTATATAGACCTCCAAGTTCACCAGGACATCTGTCGTGCTGCGGCACTTGCGGAAACCAAATTGAGAAGGGGAGAGGAGGTGATGGTGTTCCAGGAACCACATCAGACGAACGTTAACCATACGTTCAAAGAGTTTGCAGACACAACTTGTGAGAGCAATAGGGCGAAAGTCCTTAGGGGAAGTACCCAGAGACCCTGGTTTGCGAACAGGGAGGACAACGGCATCGAGCCAGTCCTCAGGGACTGACGATGACTCCCAGATCCGATTATACAGACTCAGTAAATACTGAGACGTGCTCGGAGGGAGATGGCGAAGCATCACATAATGAATACCATCGGAGCCCGCCGCCGTAGAACCGCAGAGGGCCAGGGCAGAACGAAGTTCAGAGAGAGAGAAGGGATCATTATAGGGAAGCTGAAGATGAGTGCAGAAATCTAAAGGACGAGACTCAAGGACAGGTTTACGAAGAAGGAAAGATTGGGGAAGATGAAGACCAGAGCTAACAGAAGAAAAGTGGGAACCCAGTTCGGAAGCGACCTGCAACGGGTCCGCCACAAGAGTATCATGGAGGTGAAGGACCGGTGAAACATCGGGAACGAACTTACCCGCTATCTTGCGGATACGCTTCCAGATCTGGGCCAGAGGGGTTTCGGACGTAATTGTCGAGACATAAGATGCCCAACATTCACGTTTAGCCGTACGGATGGCCCTACGGGCCACCGCACTCGCTTTCCGAAAGAAAAGAAAAGAATCGGTCGTCTGCCTACGGCGGTGCTTCTTCCAGGCTGCACGCTTACAGCGGACAGCCCGAGCACAGTCCGCATTCCACCAGGGAACGCACTTCCGTGGACCCCGAGAGGAAGAGCGAGGAATAGAGCGGAGGGCAGCGTCGAAGACAGTGTCATGAAAAAGGAGGAGAGCGCGAGAGAGGGGCAGAAGGGAGAGGTCAGAGAGAGTAGCACTGAGGGAAAACAGGGTCCAGTCCGCCTTAGCAAACTGCCACCTAGGGAAAGAGAGGGAAGGGCGAAAAGAGAAAAAGGAAACAAGGATGGGGAAATGATCACTTCCATGGAGGTCATCAAGAACCTGCCATGTGAAATCTAAGTAAAGAGAAGAAGAGCAGAGAGAAAGATCAAGACAAGAAAGGGTGCGAGTTCGAGAGTCCAAATGAGTGGGCTCACCAGAATTCAGAAGAGACAGGGAAGAAGAGAGGAGAAACGGCTCAAGGAGGCGACCCCGGGTATTCGTCAGAACGTCACCCCAAAGAGAATGACGACAATTGAAGTCACCCAGCAGGAGCACAGGCTCCGGCAAGGAGTCTAGGAGGTGTTTCAAATCAGGAAGAGAGAGCGGGACACTCGGGGGGAGATAAATGGAACAAACTGTGTACCATTTCCCCACAAAGATACGAGCAGCAGAACAATGGAGAGGCGAAGGAAAAAGTAAAGGAACAAAGGGAACATCAGCCCGAATCAAGAGAGCAGAAGAATTAGAAGCCCCAGCAATGGCTGGGGGGGGGGAGAGAAAGGAATAGCCACGAAAACGACCAGGACGAGCACCAAGCATCGGCTCCTGGAGACAGACACAAAGGGGCGAAAACCGCGAAACCAGAAGTTGGAGTTCGAGGAAATTGGCGTAATAACCTCGAACGTTCCATTGAAGAATGGACAACGACGAGAAGAGAAAGGACAAAAACAGAGAACAAGGAAGAAACAAAGGCGAAAGACCAACAGAGCACGTTAAAGAATATCAGGGTCGGGATCAGGGTCAGCAAAGTCAGGGTTAGGGGGCATGGGTAAACTGAGCAAAGACGGAGGGAAGGAAACGGGAGAACAGATCAGAGGTGGGCGGGCAGGGTCCGGAGGAGGAGGAGGAGGAGGAGGAGGAGGAGACAACGGAGAGGAGCAGTCAAGGACAGCAGCAGGAAGAGGGGGAGTAGAAAGAGAGGAGCGCACCCCAGCAAGAGCAGCAACCGAAAGGGAAGCAGGGGCCAAAGAAACCTCCATAGCAGGAACAGGGGGCGCAAGCACTGAAACGGGAGTGGAAGGAGCAACAGAGCCAGAAGGAGGAGCTGAGGAAGAAAGCGAAGCCTTCTTACCCGCCGGGGAAGAGGAAGGAGAGGAGCCAGGCTTACGCTTCTGACTTAAAGAGACCGGTGTCCCAGCAACTACGTACCGGGCAACGGATTCCAGTGTCTCAACAGGAGAAGCCGAACGAGAGCACACACGACGGCCGTTAGGAGAGCGATGGACATCCGCCCGCACCGACAGGCGGCGGGGAGAGCCGATAGATGGAGGAAGAGGATGGGAAGGAGGATCGGAGGGGGACGAGGAAGGAGACACAGAAGACACGACAGACCGGGTAGAAGGAAGGGGAACCCCAGACAGAGGACCAGGAGGAGGATCCTTCGGGAGAGAACCCAAAGGGACAGAGGAGGGGGCAGTGGGCGCATCAGGGTCCAAGGCCTGGAAACGGTTGTGAGTCTGAGGAAGGCGGGAAGGACGAGGAGAGGAAGAGCGCAACACGCGAGCATAAGAGATATTAGCATAAGGCGGGAGCCGGCGAACCTGGCGCCTCGCCTCAGGAAAAGATAAACGCTCCCGGTGCTTCAAGTTGAGGACGGCTGCCTCAAGCTTGTAATGGACACACGCACGGGAGAAGGTAGGATGGGCCTCACCGCAGTTGAGGCAACGAGCCTGGGGAGAAGCGCACTCCGACTTAGAGTGACCTTCGCCACCACACAAAGGACAGAGAGAGACAGTCCCGGAGCAGCGGAGGGCACCATGCCCAAACCTCCAGCACTTGTTGCAGAGCCGAGGAGAAGGAATGTACTCCTGGACAGAGCACCTGGCACCAGCAAGAATGACAGAGGGTGGAAGGGTCCTACCATCAAAGGTAATCTTCACAACCCGGAGGGGTTGACGGCGACTACCACGAGGGGACGAGTAAACGTGTCCACCTGGAGAATAGAATGGCCCTGGGCAGCGAGGATATGTCGAATATCGTCGTGGCAGTCGCGTAGGTCCCGAACACCGGTCGCAACATGGGGCGGGAGCAAAATAGTGCCAACACTGGCATTCAACTGGACGTTCTTCGAGACCCGAACGGGGGTCTCGCCAAGGCAGGATAAGGCAGCCAAGCGGGAAGCAGCATCCTGAGAAGGAGCAGCAACGACACGCGTACCGAGACGAGTGGGGTTAAAAGTAATGGAGGCATCCACGGAATCAATGAGATGTCGATGAAGGGAGAAATCGTCAGGAGGCGCAGAATCAAGAGGGAGGAGATCAAAATATTTGGCCCACGAAGCGGGACCAAACAAGGCTTGATAGGTAGCAGAACTGGAAGGAATCGAGCGAGGGCGGCCGTGACGAGAACGGCGGTGAGAACCCCAGAGAGAGAGGGGTTAAAAGGCGCAGTAGTAACAACTAGAGAAGGAGCCGCGCCAGGGGACGAGGTAGTCACCACTGGGGGCTTGGGGCTCGACCCAACCACAGAGGAGGGAGGGGAGCCAGGGGAAGGAGTCAGAGAGGCCAAAGGAGGAGCAAGGTCGGGGCCCAATGCAGCGGAGGCTACAGAGCCCGGTCTTCCAATACGGACCGACTCGGGGGCTTGGTCGCCCACCCCACGAGCCTGAAAAGGTAAGCCAGAAGCAGCCGAAACGGGGGTTATCATCTTGACGAAATTACGAATTCACTCACGAATGTGCCCCCACACCCACCATGGAGCCACAATTAGAGGCAGGACACCCAACAAGAAGCTATCGCCGATCTTGTCGGGGCCTCCTAGGGGTGCGTCGTGAGTATACGCCCCACAAACGCCACCTTAAGAAACCGACAGTCCGTCGAGATCGGGTTCAGTGACGAAGTGGGGATTGACAATAAAAGGTTCCCCTCGCTCTCGACGTCGGGTACTGCAGTTCTACGGGTGCAAGAGTATGCCTCCTCAAGCACCCGGGCGTCAAAGTAGAAGAAGTCCAAGGGAAGAACCAGAACGAGCAAAAGGTCGGCAGGAAACGGCAAGCAGATAGGAGAAGAGGGGGGAGAAAAACGAAACAGAAGGAAAAGGAAAAGATGCCCAGCAGAATTGGAGAGGACGGCAGCAGGAGCACAAGGCTAGAAAAGGACAGAGGACTGTCCCAAGGAGCATCACACTCCGGCAGCCGCCCACTAAGCCCCCAGACGGCGACAACGAGCTGAGCGGGGAGGGGGTTACACAGGCAAATACAGCAATTCAAACAACATTATTTTTTATGGAAAAATTTGTTTCAGTGTATGAACCATCTCTTGGAACAGATTAAATTCGTAGACCGAGGTTCCACTATCTTCCCTTGTCTATCTTTGCATCTTTCATATGCCATACATGTAAATAATGTTTATTAACTTAACATATTTTCATCATTTATTGCAGCGCAATCACAGATGGTGTTGGAGTATCATAATTTGTTTGTATCATAAATCGTTATCTCATGCTTTCTGTGCTTTAAGCGTCAGTGACTGCGCTTCTGCCATACCTAACTTTCTGAAAAGCGTCCACTTTACAAGATTGAATTATCTAGGTCAAAATTGTGCAAACATATTTTCAAATAATAAAAACTGGCCAAGTTTACACAAAATGTTAAAAAGTTAACGGCATACCAGTTACATTAGAGAAAATGAATTTGGCATTTTGGGAGCTTATATGGGAAGGTTAATGTAATGGTTGAAACTAGTGTAGTAATGTACTAATGGTACTGTTCATTTTTGTATTATATCCATTTAGTATTATAAACTGTCTATATAGAGGATGACTTATTCATAAAGGATATCAAAATAAAGAGTTATTATTAAACATATATTTGGTGTTAGTAGGACTAGAAGTCTTCATCAGCTAAGCTGTCATTTTTCTGACCTATTGTGGAGGCAGCGCCAACTCTCCATAATGGAGGCAGCGCCAACTCTCCATAAAGGAGGCAGCGCCAACTCTCCATAAAGGAGGCAGCGCCAACTCTCCATAATGGAGGCAGCGCCAACTCTCCATAATGGAGGCAGCGCCAACTCTCCATAATGGAGGCAGCGCCAACTCTCCATAATGGAGGCAGCGCCAACTCTCCACAATGGAGGCAGCGCCAACTCTCCACAATGGAGGCAGCGCCAACTCTCCACAATGGAGGCAGCGCCAACTCTCCACAATGGAGGCAGCGCCAACTCTCCATAATGGAGGCAGCGCCAACTCTCCATAATGGAGGCAGCGCCAACTCTCCATAATGGAGGCAGCGCCAACTCTCCATAATGGAGGCAGGTCAACTCTCCATAACAAATGAAAGCCTATAATTAATCCGTATATATAAAAAGGCATTTGCTGTACATTTCAGCCATATTGTGGTAATTTATAAATACAGTACAGTAACTTGAAGGGCACAGAAGAGAGCATCAGAACCCCAATAACACAAAATGGGGAGTTACCTTCCCTATCTTCACAGCAAGTTCTATGAAAATAAACAACACTGAATGTAATGAAATATCTTTTTCTGCTAGAGCCCCAGTGGCTTCCTGAAGCCATCTCGCTGAGAAGGCTTCCCACTACTGGGTCACATCGATCGCAAGAGTCCTGTTTGGCCTACCATAGAAAGAGCCAGAACAAGGCCCTCTCCCCCACCCCTCCTCTCACAGATGCATAGAGCAGGGAACTATTACCACTACCCTCACTGGGAAAATATCCAGAAAGTCAGCGAAGCTTTACATACAACTGCAAAATTCATAAAAATGAAGCATCAAGATGGCCAAACGGCTCTCTAAATTATTCAAACTAAACAATTGGTCCACTCGAAACTAGTTCAAACCTGTTAGTACCGACAGCAGCCACCAGGTGGTCCAGAGCCCAAGCCCAAGCCCACAGCCCACTCCAATAGCCAGTCTGGAGCTGATGGACAATGAACTGATGAGTTTACGATTCTTCGCGGCAGGGGATCGTATTCCAGGGACCATAGGATTAAGGACTTGCCCGAAACGCTACGCGTACTAGTGGCTGTACAAGAATGTAACAACTCTTGTATATATCTCAAAAAAAAAAAAAAAAAAAAAAATATAATGAAGTCAGGAGCTACCGGGGGCTCTACCAGAAAGAGGCACTGCATTACATTCAGTGCTAATTTTCTGGGAGGAGCACATTGATAGTTCTCTGCAGCTAACTACAGAAAAACAGGAAAGTGAGATTACAAGGGAGGAAGAGATGGCAGGTACTATTACAAAGAACGGACCACAGACTGGGAAACCCAGCATAGTTCCATACAATATTAATTGGGACCAGTAACCAAGTACTGGGCAGCCATGACCATGTTACACTTCCAAACAACCTCGAGCCTGAATATCAGCCCACAACATTTTGGAGACGACAGCAGCCAATGCTACATATTTATGAACATCATAGGCTCGAGGTTAGACTGCAGGCTGGCTAGCTTTGGTGATACTGTAGACAACTCGAGAAATATTAGGCAGGGAACAGGGGGACCAAAGAAACGGTTTCCCAACAGGGAATCCACTGAGGCAGAACTGGTGGCACACAGTTAATGGCAAAGCACCACCACCAGACAAAACAAATTATGCACCTCTGGTTGCACCAACCAAGTGTCAATCAAAGGGTTCCCTCTAGAAGCCAGCCCACTTGTTCCTTACAAGAAAAGGAGGAGAAGGTTGCAAACAAACTGCTCACCAGGTCCAAAGAAACAGACCCCCACCTCCTCAGAAGAGCATGGAACTCCCCAACCCTACAGTAGGAGGCAAGCACCAACAAAAAACACAGCTTTGCAAAAAATATTCCTATCTGAAGGAGCAACTGTTAACCAAGGAGAGGAAAGAAAAACCAACCTGTTGAAAGTCTAAGATGGCTCAGGAGGAGCAATGAGCCAGCCAGAGGTGAAAGAATGCCCGAAACAATTTGTGGAATGGAACAAAATCTTATCTATGCCGAACACAAACAACAGAGGCTCTGCCAATGCTGAATGATGAGAATTAACAGTATTATACACAAGACACTGATCCAAAAAACAATGACAAAAAGGACAGAACCACCTGGATTGAAACCAAAGACAGGCAACAAAGAGATGTAACTAGCACTATGCAATGTCATACTGATTCTGCAAAAAGATGTAGATGGGACACCAATAAACCATGTACCTGCTCACATGACGTATGGCAATAGTCCTGCATCAGAAAAACTAGATGCATAGTGCAAAGGAGAAGGTTGAACCAGCAAAGTGCATTGCTAGAGGTAAATAAATTCTTTAATATTTCTCCATCCATGTATTTAAAAGCGGTTCTAAAGCTAGAAAGCGTAGCATACACTACTCACACAAAGTTCTTTATGTGCTCTTCAAGTGACAGTTTTTTATCTAGAACTGCTCCTAGATAACTATCAGAATTCTTTAAACCTTGTCACCGAATTTGCAAGTTGTGGCCTATTTGACCTAACACAGACTTGCAGGGGAATTACAAGGGCATGAAGGTAACTAGCCAAGTAGGGCACCCAGGAATTAGGGACGCTCGTCAATAGAACAGATACCAAACGCAGCCTGTAACAATGCATTTTTACAGGCTGCAAAGTGTGTTTCTGGTTTGCCATATAAACAAGCATGTACCCTAGTGCACACCCCACACAACCAAGGGCCTACACAAGATTCAACAATTCAAACTGTCCAGTGAGGTTCTCCACCCCCAGTGGCCAGGCCTCTTGGGGGCAAACTCCTGAACACACGCAAAAAAAAAACAGCACTGAATGTACTGAAACGCCAGTTTCTGGGCGAGCTCCGGAGGCTCCCTGACACCCTCTCGCCCCCAAGTTGGTGGTGTGTTTCTCAGTAAAGAACTGAAACCAGTCAGCCCAGGCTCCCCCAAGAGGCTCCACCTCCCCCTAATGAGGGGGAGGTGGAGTTGATTTCTGGGGGCTCATTTCACTAAGTTTTGGTCGTTTTTTTATTACCGAGTTCTTTTGGCATTTTGGGGACTTTGGTCATGATTTTAAACTAGGCACAGTGGTTGCTTTGATTCACCTATCTTTTTTGGGTGCCTTCTCTGTTGAAGGCAAAGATGATATCCTATAAATGTAAAGTGATCGCAGGCCATCGCTCTCTGCACCTCTCTGGGAAGTCTAAGTTTTAGCTCGTGATCCCGGTACACAAAAAGAACTCCACAACTGATGACGCTAGGTAGTATGGCACTCAATCAGGGAAGACAGCTTCAGGGAGCCATTGGGGCTCCCCTAAAGGAAAGGAACTATCAGTGCAGGAGCAGCATTAAACGATCAGCCAGAGAAGTAAACCCTGTGTGCATGCAGCTTGAAACACAAAACAAGCAAAATCTACACAACAAAATCAGGAAATAAGTAAGTAATTATCAAGAGGAAGGCACCAAACCGGGAACAAAACCAGGAAGAAAACGGGCACATGAAACAAACCCAAAAAAATCCAAACAAAGGAAAAGTAAATGGCTTCTGCATGACAAAGTCCAAAGGATGGATGGCACCTGGTCAAGAAACAATGGAATCCACTGCAATGAACAATCACCTGGGAGCCCACTATGGGTTTAATCAACCACATAAGCAACAGGACTGACCATTGGAGCTGGCTGCGAGTCAGGACTTCTGGCCACCTGGTGATGGCAAACTAGTTCGAGCTAGTTTCCAGTGTACCAATTGTATAGTTTGAATTGTTTGCAGAGTCATTTGGCTGTTTTGATGCTTCATTTTCTATGAATCTTGTAGTCGTCTACAAAGCTTCACCAAATTTCTGGATGTTTTCTAAGTGAGGGGTGATAATAGTTGCCTGCTCTGTGCACCTGTGTGAGGGAAGCCAGCTTCTGCCTCTAGACTTAGGTAGGCCCAAACAGGACTCGTGCAATTGATGTGACCCAGTATTGGGGACCAGCTCAGTGAAATAGCTTCAGGGAGCAACTAAGGGACTCCCAGAAAAACTGTTCATATTGTCATACTTCCAATGACAGTTATTCCTCGCAGACTCTTACACTTGCTGCTCAACTTTTACACTTGCAAAGCAGCCAGTTCTCAAAACTCACCATATAGAACACAAGAGATCTAACTAAACACAATCTCAAATTTCACAATTCCAATTTAAGTGAACATCCATATAATTTTATGTATTTTAACTTACAATGACAGGAGAGTCATAGCTATGATCAAGAAAAAGATTGTTTTAAAAATGGCAAAAATGGCTTATAAAAGGCACTGACAAATATGCTGACACAAAGGCCATAATATACATTACCACATGAAGAATCATATTACCAAGAAGGGTCTTGTCCAATTGCCCAGGTGATTGAATCTATAACCCATGTGTCAGAGCTGCAGCGAGATTGCTGGCCGATACATAGTGCACGGACCTGTCAGAACACTACCGAGATTGCTGGCAGATACATAGTGCACGGACCTGTCAGAACACTACCGAGATTGCTGGCAGATACATAGTGCACGGACCTGTCAGAACACTACCGAGATTGCTGGCAGATACATAGTGCACGGACCTGTCAGAACACTACCGAGATTGCTGACAGATGCACACATCTTGTTTGACGCCAAGACAAACTTTTGTTATACTGCAAGCAAAGACACATTTACAACTCTTCACAGACTTCTAGCATAAATTATTTGCCAACTCAAGGGGCTTGTATTGAAAGAAAAAACCAGCATCAAATGTAATGAAACATCTTTCTGGCCGATCCTTGATGGCTGCCTGTTGCTAGCCGCTCAGAATAGTTTCACCCATATTAGATCACATCGGGCTGCAGCACTGCCCTCTTCCCTGGCATCCAGTCCTATCCCAAAACATTGGCAACACTTGGCACTTGAGCAGTCAAAGTATAAACATTAAAAATTGCTAATATATTCTTTGGATAAACACCCTCAGCTTATTTTTATGAAAGTAACCAAATATAAAAATGGAGTAATCAATTCTCTTAAATTATGTACTACAAACACATACTCTTAAGATTTACAAATGATTCTTGACTGAAATCAAATCCAGTTTATGTTAGGAAAGAATAACCTACTTTACAATTGTTATTCATAGAGGTGTTCCAAGTTCTTTGCTCAAAGCTCTGAACTTTTATATTTTCCTCATCTCACGCCTCGAACACAAATCGGACCAATAACGGTACTATATTAAAGTTTGCGTTTACTTATGAATACATTTGAGTGGAATACATAACCATGATCACCATTGTAAACTTTCTAATACACCTTACCATCAAAGCTAGAGACTTATTAATGATCTTATTTTATTTAACGTAATATCATATTTGTTGAGAGATGCAGGGATGCATATTAAACTATTATTTGTATATTATTGTTACATCAATAATAACAAATGGATGCTCCTATCAATATATAAAATATTGGTTTCTTTAGGTTTATTTAGAATTTAACCTTTAACATGCAACTATCATCAAAATTGTCACCTTACTTGTGTGTAAATTAACTTAATAAAAAGGCACAGTCTAATTTTTTATATCAATTCAGTTTCTGGTTTGGTGAAATGTTGACAAATGCGGTCGGCATGACTGTCGGGTCACCCCGCACGTACTGGTGTGCCGGGTCACCCCGCACGTACTGGTGTGCCGGGTCACCCCGCACGTACTGGTGTGCCGGGTCACCCCGCACGTACTGGTGTGCCGGGTCACCCCGCACGTACTGGTGTGCCGGGTCACCCCGCACGTACTGGTGTGCCGGGTCACCCCGCACGTACTGGTGTGCCGGGTCACCCCGCACGTACTGGTGTGCCGGGTCACCCCGCACGTACTGGTGTGCCGGGTCACCCCGCACGTACTGGTGTGCCGGGTCACCCCGCACGTACTGGTGTGCCGGGTCACCCCGCACGTACTGGTGTGCCGGGTCACCCCGCACGTACTGGTGTGCCGGGTCACCCCGCACGTACTGGTGTGCCGGGTCACCCCGCACGTACTGGTGTGCCGGGTCACCCCGCACGTACTGGTGTGCCGGGTCACCCCGCACGTACTGGTGTGCCGGGTCACCCCGCACGTACTGGTGTGCCGGGTCACCCCGCACGTACTGGTGTGCCGGGTCACCCCGCACGTACTGGTGTGCCGGGTCACCCCGCACGTACTGGTGTGCCGGGTCACCCCGCACGTACTGGTGTGCCGGGTCACCCCGCACGTACTGGTGTGCCGGGTCACCCCGCACGTACTGGTGTGCCGGGTCACCCCGCACGTACTGGTGTGCCGGGTCACCCCGCACGTACTGGTGTGCCGGGTCACCCCGCACGTACTGGTGTGCCGGGTCACCCCGCACGTACTGGTGTGCCGGGTCACCCCGCACGTACTGGTGTGCCGGGTCACCCCGCACGTACTGGTGTGCCGGGTCACCCCGCACGTACTGGTGTGCCGGGTCACCCCGCACGTACTGGTGTGCCGGGTCACCCCGCACGTACTGGTGTGCCGGGTCACCCCGCACGTACTGGTGTGCCGGGTCACCCCGCACGTACTGGTGTGCCGGGTCACCCCGCACGTACTGGTGTGCCGGGTCACCCCGCACGTACTGGTGTGCCGGGTCACCCCGCACGTACTGGTGTGCCGGGTCACCCCGCACGTACTGGTGTGCCGGGTCACCCCGCACGTACTGGTGTGCCGGGTCACCCCGCACGTACTGGTGTGCCGGGTCACCCCGCACGTACTGGTGTGCCGGGTCACCCCGCACGTACTGGTGTGCCGGGTCACCCCGCACGTACTGGTGTGCCGGGTCACCCCGCACGTACTGGTGTGCCGGGTCACCCCGCACGTACTGGTGTGCCGGGTCACCCCGCACGTACTGGTGTGCCGGGTCACCCCGCACGTACTGGTGTGCCGGGTCACCCCACACGTACTGGTGTGCCGGGTCACCCCACACGTACTGGTGTGCCGGGTCACCCCACACGTACTGGTGTGCCGGGTCACCCCACACGTACTGGTGTGCCGGGTCACCCCACACGTACTGGTGTGCCGGGTCACCCCGCACGTACTGGTGTGTCGGGTCACCCCGCACGTACTGGTGTGTCGGGTCACCCCGCACGTACTGGTGTGCCGGGTCACTCCACACGTACTGGTGTGCCGGGTCACTCCACACGTACTGGTGTGTTGGGTCACTCCACATATACTGTTTGCAGACACACTAGTCTAAGGGAAAAAGGAGAGGAATCAACTCCTCCTCTTTAGTGGTTTTTATGTCCATTACATATTCAACACAAACATTTGTGTTTGTAATCTAATAACCCATCTATGTACTCAACAAAAACCATGAGTACTGTATAACGTTCTTCAATATAACACGTACACCTATATTACACCAAGGTTTCCCTGGCACAGCTCAAAGCAAGCCTTGCAACCCACACTTTCTGCACTTGAGTCTGGGACTGTTCTCCAGACATGATAACACCAGCAAAATAAGGCAAAATTGTTGACCTTATGACAACAATATATTGACAATAACTAGGTCACTAGTAAGGTAAAATCATTGCATAGTAAGTAAGTATAAAATGATAGAATTTTGTCATGGGTTTTGGTTAACTCCATTACATTCATACAAGTGTATTATAACCATTTTACATCATTGGTATAAAAACTGAGTAATAATAAAAAATCAGCAAATGACCAATAAGAGCAGCTGGCCAGGAGATGGACCAATAAGAGCAGCTGGCCAGGAGATGGACCAATAAGAGCAGTTGACCAGGAGATGATCAACCAATAAGAGCAGCTGGCCAGGAGATCAACCAATGACAAAGCCTCAATGTTGCAAGTTAAAATTACTGAACACTTCCACTTCCTTATAACAGTAATCCACATGAAAATCATTAAATTACTTGGGTTTTAAACACCTACAGAATACTGATGAGCATCCAATTTTGTTTTATGGAAAAAATAAAAATTTTGCTTTAACAACACATTTCCCACAAGGCTAAGTTAGCTTAGCTCAGCTAAAACTAGCCTGAAACAGTAGTATTATTTTGCTTGTCAATCACTTTGTTTGGGTTAGTATTTTATAGTTACCAAAAACTATTGCCTAAGTTAATTAATCCACTGAGAATTAATGCTAAACAAATACTGTAAAAGGAACAAAGTCAAGAGCCTGAATGCAATACTGGACCAAAATATCTTCAAACACAAGATATTACAACAGTTCTAATCTTTTCAGAATAGATTTAAGCAGAATTATTATTTGAGAATATAATTTATGGTTCTTAGATCTTGTTAAGCAACTTTGCTCTTTGCCTCTTTGTCACAATTTTGAAACAAGTGTTTAGCAAGTATCTACTTGTTTATACTTGCTAATGAACAAGTGTTTAGCAAGTATCAACTTGTTAATACTTGCTAATGAACAAGTGTTTAGCAAGTATCAACTTGTTAATACTTGCTAATGAACAAGTGTTTAGCAAGTATCTACTTGTTAATACTTGCTAATGAACAAGTGTTTAGCAAGTATCAACTTGTTAATACTTGCTAATGAACAAGTGTTTAGCAAGTATCAACTTGTTAATACTTGCTAATGAACAAGTGTTTAGCAAGTATCAACTTGTTAATACTTGCTAATGAACAAGTGTTTAGCAAGTATCAACTTGTTAATACTTGCTAATGAACAAGTGTTTAGCAAGTATCTACTTGTTAATACTTGCTAATAAACTTAACTCAAAATTTTGAAGAATATAATTAGAATAAAAGTAAAAAGCAAAAGCATCATACACGGCTTTCATGCAAAATGTTGTATTATGCATGGATGCTACTTGCCAGAATAGTATAGGCTTTACAAATACAACTTGTAGACAATTTGTGTACAAATTGTATCGTATATGTACGATACAATTTAAAAGTACTTCAATATTCAAAATAGTACCTAAAATTTTAACATACTGTACCAGAAAAATTAAATAAGATATCTATTTTCCTTACCTACTAAAATAAAAGTATTTTCTTATTTCATATACAATGTAAATTAATTCTCTGATAAATTTATAATGCTTAATTAAAGTCATTCAATTTTACAGGGAATAACACTGGATATCTTTTAGCAAATAAATGTTCATTATTTCCTACCAGTAATGATATAAATACTCTCCCAATACCCAACACTATTTTTGCTTCTATTTAATTAACCTCTTCATTCAAAGTGTATTTTTTTCTGACAAAAAGAATGAACTTACACATTTATCTGCCGGAATTCATTAATACTGAGAGGTGATAAAGATTATATTGATGCTGAAAGAAACATCACCTGTTGAACTTCCTGCAAGGTCAAATGAGCTTTACAACATTTGAGTTACATCTTTCTTGATTACAATTACAATAGTTAAAAAACCCAGCATTGAATGTAATGAAACGCCTCTTTCCAGTAGAGCCCTGGTGGCTCCTTGAAGCTATTTCTGAGGTTGCTTCTATCTACTAGATGTGACCTACTCCCCCCCCCTCCCCTCCCCCTTTCCCCACAAAGGTGCAGAGAGCAAGTAACATCTCACCACTTTACCGGGAAAGCATCCAGAAAATCAGCAAAGCATTATAAACAACTGCAAGATTCACATGAACAGAAGCCTCAAAACCCTCAAAATTCACTCACCAAACAGTTCAAACAAAACAATTGAATCACTCTAAACTAGCTCAAGCCCTTTAGTACCAAAACACCGCCACCATGGGGCCCAGACCCCTGGTCCTACGTCAACTCTCCCAAGTCGGTTCTGGAGCAGATGAACCGTACAACTGCCAACTGACTACCTAGAGAGGAAGGAGTCAGGGCATCACTGGAGCTGTACCAGAAACATGCATTTCATTACATTCAATGCTAGTTTTCTGAAGAAGCCCCTTAGTGGCTTCCTGAAGCTAACTGACCACAGAAAAGAAAATCTAGTGACTCACCAGGGAGGAGAGATGGCAGATGCTAAAGTGAGGAAGAGACCCACGGCTGGAAAACACCCCCTAAAGCAACATAGGGACATCTGGGCCCAGGAACATTGATTAAATACTGGGCCATCAAGACCCTGGTAGATCACCAAAATCCACATACCCAAATACCAACCTAGGAAATGTTAGAAAACAACGTAACCAGCGCAGCATATTTGCGAACATCATGGGGTACAAGGGTATATTGCATGCTGGCTACACTTAATAACACTGCAGACAATCTGAGAAATGAGAGCCCTTGGAACATGGACAAGGAAAAAATCAACACATAAGGCATCCACCAGGGCAGAATCAGTGGCACAAAGATAGGGACAAAGAGCCGTCACCAAACACAGCAAATGACGCACTGCTGGCCAAACCAACCAAATATCAATCGTTAAAAGACCTCTCTGGAAGCCTGCCAACTTATTCTTCAGCAGAAAAGAAGGAGATGGCATGCAGATAAAGAAAACGCCCACCTCCAAAGAAGATCATGATGCTTCCCAACCCAATAAATGAAGGCAAGAGCCAGCAGAAATGCCACCTTGAGAAGGGTATCCAGGACTGAAGCTGGAAACCGAGAAGAGGAGAGAAAGGTGAGGACACGGTCAAGCGACCAGGAATGGCAATGAAGAAGTAACAACTTTGAATGAAGAGGTTAAACTGTTCATCAACAACAAGTCGAAGATGAACAGTTGACCGTGAACATAACCCAAGGCAACACAAGGCTGCCGAGGACCAGAACAGTCACAAGATACCAGGCTGCCACAACCCTATTCCACTGTCAAAATTCCCGCTCCCAAATATTGGCCCAAGGCATATGGACAAACACAGCCAACAGTGGCATACTTGCGGACATCTGGGCATGAGGGTAGACCCCCCAGGCTGGCTAGACTTAATGACACTGAGGACGACCAGAGAACACGAGCCCTGGAACAAGGAACAAGGAAAACTGGATCAGCCCAAAACAAGGCCACTAACTCAGAAACGGTGGCATGAAGGTAGCAGCAGAAAGTCGCCACCAGACAATGCACATGATGCACCCCTGGCTGAACCAAGAACCCATGACCAAAGGACCCCTCCAGAAGCCCATTGACTCAATCTTTGCCAGAAAAGAAGGACCCGACTGCAACCTAACACCAACCAGGCCCAAAGGAATAAGAACCCCCGGCACTGGAGAAGAGTCTGAAGCCCACCCACCCGACAATCAGAGACCAAAGCAAAAACACAGCTTTCAAGAAACAATCTTGGACTGGAGGAACCCCATAAACTGAGCAGAAGACAGAAAGAAATACCCCAATCCAGAGACCAGGCAGGCTCAGATGGCACATGAGCAGGCCAGAGGTGAAACAAAGCGTGAGAAACTTTGCAAAATGGGGCCAAAGACATGTTATTCGCAAGCAAGAGAGATTCTGCCAATACCATACGAGAAGCGACAGTATTCGGCATAAAACACCATGCAAGAAACGGCCAAGAAAGGTCAAGACAACCCACTTGGAAACCGAAGAACAATGACAAAGTACAAAGACTTCATACTGTCACCAGGAGAACTACAGGTGGGACACTTATAAGAAGCCACCTGATCACCACAGACAGGTTGATAAAAACAGCAGACAGGGTGGTGGAGAGGGTTGAACCAGTAAAGCACACCACCAGGCCGAATCTCCGAAAAACGCTGAACAGCAGACAACACCTAGGTCAGACACCGAGCAAACAGCTCCAGAAACCAAGGCCGGGCAGTAGCTAATGTAGCTCTTATCAGTTTGGATAGCTTCAGGGAGCCTACGGGGCTTACCCAGAAAATGGTGTTTCATTACATTCAACACTGGCTTTTGGCTCGGTGACGCCATAGTCGACTGCCCAGAAAATAGGTTAGCATCTTAATAACAAACACTTGTGGGAAGGGTGGGGAAGAGGGAGAGCAGATTAAAAATGAATACAGTGATTTTTTTGTATAATGGGAGTTCAAAACGCAGGACAGCCTCTGTATTCCTTATGATGTTAATGCTAAATACATTTTTTCATATTGTCAAAAACACATACATTATTTTATTTTACTGTCTTGTTATTTCTCAGAAGCCTCAATTAAAAAGATGCATGAACCCATCCCTGGCACATTATAAACTGAAGTGGGGAAACAAAGTTAATCAAAACATTACAAAGATATTTTGAGCCATACATTTTGCATCCAAACCTAAGCCAAAATAAATACTATATTGGGGAAAAAACAAATGTGAAAGCAAATTAAATACATTACAAAATATAACCGCTGTAAAATACAATAAACAGAAGTGAAAAATACTAAACAAGGAACTTGGGTTAGTTGTCACTTAGTAACTAAGGTGATATGTTGTCAATCATTATAAATACCATCTGACCCACAGCTTATATCTTTAGTTTGTCTTTTAATTCATAATTAGGTTCAAGAGCACCTCGCCTACTGTTACTGATTAATACTTTAAGGAAGTCTTTACTTCAAGGCTAACTTAACATTAATGTCAATTGCAGTTAACCTTACGATATTATAATAGCATCTACGATTTTTTTTTTTTTAGAAACAAAGTTAATATTGTCAATTCACATTACAATCATAATACCATCAGTTAGGTTATCAGTCTTATTATATCTGCTAGTCCAATATTTATTTATTCAAAATATGATATAGCAAAGCTCTCTGCTTAAGAGGCTGAAATCATTCATTTAAAGCATTTTCAAATACAGTACTGTATTAGCCGACACCCTGCAAATACGTATTGCATTTCAGACTGAAAACTAAATTTTGACTGAAAATAATATGAAATCAATATATTACAAAAATTCTATGGTTATACATGTAATTAGGATTAGAGTCTATCAGTAAAAAGCTAAAATTACTGGAATAAATAGTTAAGAGTGTATAATAAATACCAGTGCCACTCAGGAACAATAAATCAGGACGATTCATCAAGACTTTGTACATCCAGCAGCACAGGTGAAGCACTCGGCACCTGTGCCCACCTGCCCACATCCAGCAACACAGGTGAAGCACTCGGCACCTGTGCCCACCTGCCCACATCCAGCAGCACAGGTGAAGCACTCGGCACCTGTGCCCACCTGCACACATCCAGCAGCACAGGTGAAGCACTCGGCACCTGTGCCCACCTGCACACATCCAGCAACACAGGTGAAGCACTCGGCACCTGTGCCCACCTGCACACATCCAGCAACACAGGTGAAGCACTCGGCACCTGTGCCCACCTGCACACATCCAGCAACACAGGTGAAGCACTCGGCACCTGTGCCCACCTGCCCACGTCCAGCAACACAGGTGAAGCACTCGGCACCTGTGCCCACCTGCCCACGTCCAGCAACACAGGTGAAGTACTCGGCACCTGTGCCCACCTGCCCACGTCCAGCAACACAGGTGAAGTACTCGGCACCTGTGCCCACCTGCCCACGTCCAGCAACACAGGTGAAGCACTCGGCACCTGTGCCCACCTGCCCACGTCCAGCAACACAGGTGAAGCACTCGGCACCTGTGCCCACCCGCAGTTATATTGCAACACATTCAAACTTTTAACAAATTATTACATACATCTCCTATGGAATGAGAACTTGAGCAAGCATTGCACTTGATACACTTAGTCACTTATTTGCATATAAAGGCATAGATCTTGCATGTCATCAAAATTCTCCACAAGCATAGTTTTAATAAAATATTCATGAAATACTATTTCATACTTATTGATAAAATATGCTGAAAGCAGAGTTGATGAGAGAGATTTTCAGTCTGTATTACTGTATTTCAATAATGAGACAACTACCTTTTAATTAACTCAGGATATTTCTGGCTAAATGCAACTTTCCATAATATAAAATACAGATTCCCAGTAGGACTACCTATCATACAAGATCTACCTCTGTATTCCCAGTAGAACTACCTCTCATACAAGATCTACCTCTGTATTCCCAGTAGAACTACCTCTCATACAAGATCTACCTCTGTATTCCCAGTAGAACTACCTCTCATACAAGATCTACCTCTGTATTCCCAGTAGAACTACCTCTCATACAAGATCTACCTCTGTATTCCCAGTAGAACTACCTCTCATACAAGATCTACCTCTGTATTCCCAGTAGAACTACCTCTCATACAAGATCTACCTCTGTATTCCCAGTAGAACTACCTCTCATACAAGATCTACCTCTGTATTCCCAGTAGAACTACCTCTCATACAAGATCTACCTCTGTATTCCCAGTAGAACTACCTCTCATACAAGATCTACCTTTGGATTCCCAGTAGAACTGGGATCTTATACAAGATCTACCTCTAGATTCTAAGTGTAATGTTGTTAACTTTTAAGTGTCAAAATCCTTGACTATTCTGTGTTTAACACTTTTTAGTTTCATAAGTAAAATATGCCATCAAATGTTTGTACAATACATAGTGCCAAAACACTATCAAAATTAGCTGAAAAGAAACATGTAATAATAATAATAATCTCATAAATACACTTCTTTTTAAGGATCTCAATGGACACAAGACAATTACTTCAAATGCTATCATATATCATGAGACCTACAGTGGGCAACATGATGTGACTAATGAATATATTCATTACCTGGTGTATTGAAACATGAAATGCTTATAGGAATGAGTACAGTATCTAAAACTGGACAAACAAATACACAACATACATTAGGGAAGCACTGAATGAGCCATTAGATTAATATTATAGAACACTATCCCTCCGACTAGATATATTAATATAAATTCCTTCAAACCATAAGAACATATTCAGACATGTAAATAGCTATGCCCCAATTCCTACATAGAAAAATAAAGTATACAACATAAGCTTTTAGAGAGATAATTAAAAAAAAAAACACCAGCGTTGAATATAATGAAACACCAGTTTCTTGGCGAGCCCCGGAGGCTCCCTGGAGCTATTACACTGATTAAGTGCCATACTTTTAGTAGTCATCAGTCACAGAGTTCTATTGTCCTACCTGGGTCCACGAGCCAGAACCTGCCCCCCCCCCCCCACTCTTAGAGTGGCGAAAGGAGTGATGTCCTATGAACACTTTAAATGTAAAGTTTATCATCTTTGTCACCACCAAGGAAGCATCCAGACAGACAGGTGAATCAAAAACTACTGTATGATTTAGAAAAAGAGACCGAAGCCTCACCACCACCAAAAGAACTCCCGAACAATGAAAACAAAATTAAAATTTTGCAAAACTAGCCCCTGCTTGTCCCACATCCCCCCCTCAATTGAGGGGAGGAGGTGCAAGCCGGTCTGGGTCAGTGGGGCCCCCCACCAGTCAGTTCTATAATGATAAAACACGCCAACAACCTGGAGGAGGGAGGGTGTCAGGAAGCCTCCTGGGCTTACCCAGAAATTAGCATTTCATTACATTCAATGCTGGTTTTCTGAGGGGAAGCTTCAAGGAGTCGACGGGACTAACTACCCCACAGAGAAGGACAAAAAGAAGGCACTTACTAGGGAGATGACAGCCACCAAATACAGCCATCAGAGCAGCACACTTCCAGTCATTATGAGCCCAAGAATTGACCACAGGCTAGTAAAGCCAAATGACACTGCGGACAAGATTTTTATATTATTTATTTAAGATATTATTTATCAGACAATCTGATAAATATGAGCCATGGAACATGGAACCAGAGAAACCGGACCAACCCAAAACAAGTCAACTGAAACAGAACTGGTGGCACGAAGTGGCATAAAGCTGCCACAAGACACCAAACTAATCACGCATCCACAACTAAAGGACCCATGCGAAAGCCGGCCGACTCATTCTTCAACAGAAAAGGAGCCAGCCACAACTGAACAAAATGACCACCATGACCAAAAGAATAATATCCCCAATGCCGGAGCAGAGCGGGAAGCTCACAAACCCATCAATGAGAGGCCAAGGAAAGCAAAACAAACCTTTCTGAAAACAATCCCAGACCATAGGGCCCACCGTAAAGGGGACAAAAGAGAAAAAGAATCCAATCTAACGATGAGGCAGGCTCAGGCGGCACATGAGCAGATTGGAGGTGAAACAAGACATCAGAAACCTTGTGAAATGGCGCCAAAGATGCATCCACCATGAACACGAACAAAAGCAGCTCTGCCAATGCCGCACGATAAAAAATAACTATCTGGCATAAGATACCGATCGAGAGCAAAAAAACCTCTGTTGGAAATGGCGGAAAGACAACGAAGAAAAGAGAAAAAATGGTGAAAAGACCACCAAGAAACCTCATACTGTCACTAAGAGGAAGACCTCAGGTGGGACACCGTCAACCTGACCACCATACATATGGTGATAAAAACTCGTAAAGAACTCCAGATATGTCACTCTGAAGAGAAGGCCGAACCAGTGAGGTACATCACTTGCCCCGAACTTCTAATAGAGGCGGAGCCTGGAAAAACACCTGGGTTTGACAGGTTCGGATACCGAGCAAGAACCACGAGGACCTCGCATTCGGGAAATGGTGCAGCGTAAAGATGGCAATGCCAAGACCACACCAATGTGAAGAGATCGACATCAGGGCATCCGTATACCCAGCAAAGCCAGAGGAAGGAATTGTCATTTGACAGACCATTCCGTGAAAACAGGACAAACAGGACAGACTGTTGGCTAGGACATAGGACACTTCCTTGGACTCTAATGGCATAAAGATGCAAACCCAGAAAACTGGTCAGAAAAGCCACAACACAAAGAAACACCAAGCACAGACAACACAAAGAAACACCAAGCACAGACAACACAAAGAAACACCAAGCACAGCCACAACACAAAGAAACACCAAGCACAGACAACACAAAGAAACACCAAGCACAGACAGTGTAGAACTGAACGGTAGAGGACATGCCTGACCCGTGCCAGCTCCTTCCTTCCCAAAATGAGGGGGCGAGGTAGGGCAAATTAGCAGGGAGTAGATTTCACAGATTTTGGTTCTTCATTTCATTGTTGGGTAGTTCTTTTGACACTGTTGAGGCTTCGGTCTCATTTTTAAATCGTGCAGTCCTATCCTATCTTTCGGGGTGCTTCCCCGATGGTGGGAAAGATGTTAAACTTTAAATATAAATTGCTTATAGACCATCACGTGCTTCGCCTCTCAAGAGGGATGCCAAGTTCCGGCTCGCGGTCTCAGGTAGGCCAATAGAACTCTGCGACTGATGACTACTAGTAGTATGGCACTTAATCAGTGTGACATCTTTAGGGAGCCAATGTGGCTCCCTTCAGAAAACCAGTGTTGAATGTAATGAAACACTTCTTTCTGAGAGAGCCCAAATGGTTTCCTGAAGCTCTTCTCTTGATATGGCTTCCCTCTACTGGGACACATCAGTTACAGGGAGGGAGCCGGTGGCTGAGCGGACAGAACACTGTACACGTGATCCTGTGGTCCCAGGTTCGATCCCCGGGCGCCGGCGAGAAACAATGGGCAGAGTTTCTTTCACCCTGATGCTCCTGTTACCTAGCAGTAAATAGGTACCTGGGAGTTAGTCAGCTGTCACGGGCTGCTTCCTGAGGGTGGAGGCCTGGTTGAGGACCGGGCCGCGGGGACACTAAGCCCCAAAATCATCTAATGATAACCTCAAGATAACAGGAGTCCTGTTTGGCCTACTGGGATCAAAACAACTACTGGATGAACTGGATTAAAGCACCCGAGAGCCATGAGGGCACTACGAGAGTCAACAACAACCACAAAGGAAGACTGACAACGAGAAAGCAGGAGACGAAGAGCATAGAGAATAGCATAAAGTTCCGCTGTAAAGATGCTAGTCTCCGGAGGCAAGCGACACATATAAGTGCGATCAGGAAAAACAACAGAGTAGCCAACACCGTCCGCTGACTTAGACCCATCGGTGAAGACAGAAACGGAGCGGGAGTGAGAAGAAAAGTGCTCGAGGAAAAGGCGTTTTAGAACCGTAGGAGGGGTAAAAGCTTTAGTGATACGAGTCAAGGATGTACAAAACCGCGGAAGAGGGACCCTCCACGGGGGCAAAGAAGGAACAACACGAGGAGAAACATCAGAAATACGAACGGAAAGAGAATCCTGTAGGCGAGATAACCGGACAGAAAGAGGGAGGTGGCGAAGAGGAACAGGAACCGCAGGAGGGGTAAAAGTTAAAGCACGACAGAGGCGAGAGGAAGGATGTTGCAAGGACCGCGCAAGATAGCAAAGACAGTAGCGATCACGGCGGTCCTGGAGAGACAGGAAGCCAGTGTCAACATACAAGCTAAGGACGGGAGTCGAACGAAAGGCACCAGAACTGAGGCGCAACCCAGTATGGTGCAAAGCATCAAGACGGCGAAGAGTAGAAGGAGAAGCAGACGAGTAAGCAGGGCAACCATAATCGAGCTTAGACAGGACGAGAGAGGAATGTAAAGCAAGGAGAGTGCGCCTATCTGCCCCCCAAGAAGTATGGGACAAGACCCGAAGGAGGGTAAGGGCCTTAGAGCACTCAACACGGAGGTAAGAGATATGGGGAGACCAAGACAAACGAGTGTCAAGGAATAACCCCAAAAGCTTCGCGGAATCTTTGTATTCAAGGGGATGACCATAAAGTGACAAAGAGGGACGAAGAACAACCCGTTTCCGCGTAAAAGTCATGGCACAAGTCTTAGAAGTAGAGAACTTGAAGCCATGACCTGTGGCCCAAGACGACACGGCATCAATTGCAAGTTGAAGCCGGCGTTGAAGGAGAGGCGAATCATCACCCTGACAACAAAGGGTAAGATCATCGACATAGAGAGCGGAGAAGACACCAGAAGGAAGAGAGGAAAGACCATTGAGGGCAACCAGAAAAAGAGTAGTGCTCAGAACACTACCCTGGGGCACACCTTCGTATTGCTGAAAAGAGGGAGAGAGAGCGGTACCAAGGCGCACCCGAAAGGAACGACGAGAGAGGAAGCTGCGGAGAAAGAGAGGGAGATGACCACGAAGGCCAAAAGAATGAAGTTGAGATAGGATATGATAACGCCAAGTGGTGTCGTAAGCCTTTTCTAGGTCAAAAAGGACGGCAACAACGGAGGTCTTCGCAGCAAAAGCAGTACGAATATAGACCTCCAAGTTCACCAGGACATCTGTCGTGCTGCGGCACTTGCGGAAACCAAATTGAGAAGGGGAGAGGAGGTGATGGTGTTCCAGGAACCACATCAGACGAACGTTAACCATACGTTCAAAGAGTTTGCAGACACAACTTGTGAGAGCAATAGGGCGAAAGTCCTTAGGGGAAGTACCCAGAGACCCCGGTTTGCGAACAGGGAGGACAACGGCATCGAGCCAGTCCTCAGGGACTGACGACGACTCCCAGATCCGATTATACAGACTCAGTAAATACTGAGACGTGCTCGGAGGGAGATGGCGAAGCATCTCATAATGAATACCATCGGAGCCCGCCGCCGTAGAACCGCAGAGGGCCAGGGCAGAACGAAGTTCAGAGAGAGAGAAGGGATCATTATAGGGAAGCTGAAGATGAGTGCAGAAATCTAAAGGACGAGACTCAAGGACAGGTTTACGAAGAAGGAAAGATTGGGGAAGATGAAGACCAGAGCTAACAGAAGAAAAGTGGGAACCCAGTTCGGAAGCGACCTGCAACGGGTCCGCCACAAGAGTATCATGGAGGTGAAGGACCGGTGAAACATCGGGAACGAACTTACCCGCTATCTTGCGGATACGCTTCCAGATCTGGGCCAGAGGGGTTTCGGACGTAATTGTCGAGACATAAGATGCCCAACATTCACGTTTAGCCGTACGGATGGCCCTACGGGCCACCGCACTCGCTTTCCGAAAGAAAAGAAAAGAATCGGTCGTCTGCCTACGGCGGTGCTTCTTCCAGGCTGCACGCTTACAGCGGACAGCCCGAGCACAGTCCGCATTCCACCAGGGAACGCACTTCCGTGGACCCCGAGAGGAAGAGCGAGGAATAGAGCGGAGGGCAGCGTCGAAGACAGTGTCATGAAAAAGGAGGAGAGCGCGAGAGAGGGGCAGAAGGGAGAGGTCAGAGAGAGTAGCACTGAGGGAAAATAGGGTCCAGTCCGCCTTAGCAAACTGCCACCTAGGGAAAGAGAGGGAAGGGCGAAAAGAGAAAAAGGAAACAAGGATGGGGAAATGATCACTTCCATGGAGGTCATCAAGAACCTGCCACGTGAAATCTAAGTAAAGAGAAGAAGAGCAGAGAGAAAGATCAAGACAAGAAAGGGTGCGAGTTCGAGAGTCCAAATGAGTGGGCTCACCAGAATTCAGAAGAGACAGGGAAGAAGAGAGGAGAAACGGCTCAAGGAGGCGACCCCGGGTATTCGTCAGAACGTCACCCCAAAGAGAATGACGACAATTGAAGTCACCCAGCAGGAGCACAGGCTCCGGCAAGGAGTCTAGGAGGTGTTTCAAATCAGGAAGAGAGAGCGGGACACTCGGGGGGAGATAAATGGAACAAACTGTGTACCATTTCCCCACAAAGATACGAGCAGCAGAACAATGGAGAGGCGAAGGAAAAAGTAAAGGAACAAAGGGAACATCAGCCCGAATCAAAAGAGCAGAAGAATTAGAAGCCCCAGCAATGGCTGGGGGGGGGAGAGAAAGGAATAGCCACGAAAACGACCAGGACGAGCACCAAGCATTGGCTCCTGGAGACAGACACAAAGGGGCGAAAACCGCGAAATCAGAAGTTGGAGTTCGAGGAAATTGGCGTAATAACCTCGAACGTTCCATTGAAGAATGGACAACGACGAGAAGAGAAAGGACAAAAACAGAGAACAAGGAAGAAACAAAGGCGAAAGAGCAACAGAGCACGTTAAAGAATATCAGGGTCGGGATCAGGGTCAGCAAAGTCAGGGTTAGGGGGCATGGGTAAACTGAGCAAAGACGGAGGGAAGGAAACGGGAGAACAGAGCAGAGGTGGGCGGGCAGGGTCTAGAGGAGGAGGAGGAAGAGGAGGAGACAACGGAGAGGAGCCGTCAAGGACAGCAGCAGGAGGAGGGGGAGTAGAAAGAGGGGAGCGCACCCCAGCAAGAGCAGCAACCGAAAGGGAAGCAGCGGCCAAAGAAACCTCCATAGCAGGAACAGGGGGCGCAAGCACTGAAACGGGAGGGGAAGGAGCAACAGAGCCAGGAGGAGGAGCTGAGGAAGAAAGCGAAGCCTTCTTACCCGCCGGGGAAGAGGAAGGAGAGGAGCCAGGCTTACGCTTCTGACTTAAAGAGACCGGTGTCCCAGCAACTACGTACCGGGCAACGGATTCCAGTGTCTCAACAGGAGAAGCCGAACGAGAGCACACACGACGACCGTTAGGAGAGCGATGGACATCCGCCCGCACCGACAGGCGGTGGGGAGAGCCAATAGATGGAGGAAGAGGATGGGAAGGAGGATCGGAGGGGGACGAGGAAGAAGACACAGAAGACACGACAGACCGGGTAGAAGGAAGGGGAACCCCAGACAGAGGACCAGGAGGAGGATCCTTCGGGAGAGAACCCAAAGGAACGGAGGAGGGGGCAGTGGGCGCATCAGGGTCCAAGGCCCGGAAACGGTTGTGAGTCTGAGGAAGGCGGGAAGGACGTGGAGAGGAAGAGCGCAACACGCGAGCATAAGAGATATTAGCATAAGGCGGGAGCCGGCGAACCTGGCGCCTCGCCTCAGGAAAAGATAAACGCTCCCGGTGCTTCAGGTTGAGGACGGCTGCCTCAAGCTTGTAATGGACACACGCACGGGAGAAGGTAGGATGGGCCTCACCACAGTTGAGGCAACGAGCCTGGGGAGAAGTGCACTCCGACTTAGAGTGACCTTCGCCACCACACAAAGGACAGAGAGATACAGTCCCGGAGCAGCGGAGGGCACCATGCCCAAACCTCCAGCACTTGTTGCAGAGCCGAGGAGAAGGAATGTACTCCTGGACAGAGCACCTGGCACCAGCAAGAATGACAGAGGGTGGAAGGGTCCTACCATCAAAGGTAATCTTCACAACCCGGAGGGGTTGACGGCGACTACCACGAGGGGGACGAGTAAACGTGTCCACCTGGAGAATAGAATGGCCCTGGGCAGCGAGGATATGGCGAATATCGTCGTGGCAGTCGCGCAGGTCCCGAACACCGGTTGCAACATGGGGCGGGAGCAAAATAGTGCCAACACTGGCATTCAATTGAGCGTTCTTCGAGACCCGAACGGGGGTCTCGCCAAGGCAGGATAAGGCAGCCAAGCGGGAAGCAGCATCCTGAGAAGGAGCAGCAACGACACGCGTACCGAGACGAGTGGGGTTAAAAGTAATGGAGGCATCCACGGAATCAATGAGATGTCGATGAAGGGAGAAATCGTCAGGAGGCGCAGAATCAAGAGGGAGGAGATCAAAATATTTGGCCCACGAAGCGGGACCAAACAAGGCTTGATAGGTAGCAGAACTGGAAGGAATCGAGCGAGGGCGGCCGTGACGAGAACGGCGGTG